GCTCCCTATCTATAAGGTTCCCCGCTGATCCGGAATCTATCATTGCGGTAGAAATAATCTGTCACCGTTATGAGAACTAAAAACAATGGTTTTGTGATAGGAGCTGACGTAACACTCACGGAGCAGCGACGGGAGTCATACCGCCTAGATAGGGAGCCGCCAGGAGATCTGTGGTCCGTGGTGGTGTAGGGGGTGCTGCCCACCTCCATGGGTGAGGACTCGGAAGCAGGGCAGCTTCCATAGCTCAGATGGGGTGAGCGTCGAGGCTCCGGGAGGTGTTGGGAATGCCGTCTATCTCTCAACATGTCGTAAAGATGGATGGACGTGGTGATGAGGGTATCAAGGTCCATCTCGTCATCCCGACATGCGAGTTTTGTCTTGATGTCCTCCCGTAAGCCTCTCCAGAAGGCCTTGCGCAGAGCACGCTCATTCCAGCCTTAAGACGCCGCCACAGTGCGAAAGCTTAGAGCGTACTCGGACGCGGGCCCTTCCCTCTGTTGTAGATGGAGGAGACGCTCAACCCCATCCTTTCCCTCCATAGGATGATCAAACACCGCCCTTAACCTAGCGAGAAAGGTGAGGTAGGGAAGTGCCTCTGCCTCCTCTCCTTCCCAGACTGCCGTGGCCCAATCCAGCGCCTTTCCTTTAAGAAGCGAAATCACGAGCGCTGTCCTGGCTTGGTCAGATGGATATGCCCCAGGCTGACGCGCCAGATAAAGGGAAACATGTAGCAGGAAGCCGCTACATTTAGTAGTTTTACTGTCATAGCGCTCCGGTAGGGCGAGGGTTCCCGCAGGAGTGGGTGATAGCACGGGAACAGGTGGATTGGGGGCACTCGCTGCTCCCTGAGGTGGAACTGGAGCGCTGGGCAGATTATGCAGAGTTTGGAGCACTTCCTGCATGGCGGCGTTCAACTGGGCAAGCTGCTGCTGGTGCTGGTCGAGGCACTGGGAAACTCCTGCTGCATCCATTTTTGTTTGGTGTGTGATTCTGTGATGCGTACTGAGTAAAGAAGAGGCAGGACGCAGACGCAGGAATTAACAAGGTCAAGGTTTACTTAAACAATGAGCAAGAGAAATAACAAAGATAGAGTAAACGACACGATGATTAACAATCACACACATCATCCTCCAGAACAGTCCAGGGCTAAATAGGGGTGGTGATGAGATGATGAGTTGCAGGTGTGCTGGAGGTGATTAGGGTGCGTTGGGTTTCCGTTCCGGTGTTGCCGAGGTGGTGCGCTCAGACCGGTGGCTCAGTAGACTGGCGAATCAGAGCGCCGGAGGGGATCAACGGGAGGAGACGTGACACAATCAAAGGAATTACATACAATCATCAAAGACGCATACATGTTAATTTAGTTATCTCGGGTGACAGGTTTAGCCAAACAGAAATCTAGCTTTTTCTGTTTTGGCACCGTCATCCTCAGCATCAACATCAATCGGTTGGCGTGGGTCTTTCTCCACCAGTCTTGTGGAACTGTGCTCTGCCTGAAGGAACTTCTTGATATTTTAAGTTGAGTTCTTCGCAGTTGACAGGCGTTTATCCCCGAGGCACATTTTGCATTTTATTATGATGTTTTTCTCCTTTAAGTAACTAAGTATCTGATTAATTCAATTGAAAAACTAACGCATTAAGTTACTCGTTACGCATTACCTCCAACACTGGTTTTGAGTGACTAAAATATCACCCATAATATTTGTTTAGGATAGAAATGCTCAACATTTTAGAAAAAGTACTTTTTCTCTCATGGCTAAGTACCAGGAAGTTTGAAAAGATAGGCTGAATGGGCAGGGAGCTTATGTTGATGCGCTCGCTTTGACTGAGAGCTCTTTGAAACGCTTATGTCAAGCAACTTGGATGCAGAGAGCAGTGTTGCAATAAAATCATATCAAGCAAATTTGGTGGTACACAAAGCAACTCAAACAATATTGAAATTGCATCTCTTGTGATGCAGTTCACAGCAGCACTGACGGATGTGTTGACTTGACAACTGCATCTGAGCTTTGTCATACATGAATAGGTTAAGCTTTTAATTATATTTGCTGACACCCTTTTGCCACCAGTACAGTACAGTAGCTATCTACTGCCATGACTTGTGCCATGTTACAGTTTTTGCCCATTGCTTACACACTAAAACCGAATGCTTAGACCAAAGCCTCAATACCTAAACTTCTTGTAGCATACCTTAAACACAGTGTAACCATAGCTTAAACACAATGTCAACTTTGCACTTTGTTTGCAATTCTGTAACACACTTATTGCGAAACACTACACACGTTTTCTTACATTAGACACTTTGTTCAAAAACGAAATCACCTGTTATCATTGGGAAAACACTCTGTTCAAAATGCAAAACTCATCTGGCAATTGTATGCATTTACATACACACCTGAAAACACTTGCACAGAAAACAGAACACCAATCAATCTGAGCCTTAGCACTACAAATAGGCCTCAGGTAAGCCATTTTTAGAACTTTGCAAGCATGGAGGCAATGAGAGTCAGAGTAAGAGGAGGACAAAGAGAGAGGAGTCGGATGTGGAAGAGGACGTGGAAGAGGACGAGGACCAGTGCGGAGACGTATATCAGATGACATCAGGGCTACTCTGGTGGACCATGTGATAAATCATGGCCTGTCCATGAGGGAGGCTGGGCAAAGAGTCCACCCTAACCTCAGTCGCTACACAGTAGCATCGATAATAAGGACATTTCGACTGGAGAACAGGTATATCTTCAAGTTTCTACTCCAGACTGTACCTACTGTATGTGTCACATGATTCTGTATCATATTACAGTATTACTGTACTAACTATACTATACAAAAATGGGTAGTGCTGTGAAGTACTGTATATGTAAAGGAATACCATTGTGATGTTGCAGTACTGTGTACAGTTTGAAAGTACAGTATGTGAAAAATAACCTAACCAATGACATCTTGTGGTGGCATTTTCTAATGGTTGGACGACCTCCTCAAGGTGGAAGGGAACAGCTCTTCACTCAACAACAAGAGCTTGCCATCATTGAAATGGTGCGAGAAAATAATGCAATCCGACTTCGTGAGTTGCAACAACGCATAATTGCAAATGGAAATGAATTCAACAATATCAACAGGGTCAGCATTTCTACACTAAGTCGCATCCTACAGAAACATAACTTCAGAATGAAGCAGCTGTACAGGGTGCCATTTGAGAGGAACAGTGTCAGGGTCAAGGATCTGCGCCATGATTATGTGCAGGTATGTGTCACTTTACTTTACATACTATATATTGTGATGTGGGAATGAGGGTTTATGCTGCCACCTGCCCTGCCTGTAGCTTGTAGTTTTTGTCTATATCACCCAACCCAGCCCCTACTTGTGTGAAAATATAGACATTGTAGTTACTGTATGTGTTTTCAGTAACACTATTCAATATTTTCTGTTACAGACAGTTATGGAGTTTGATGCCGCCGAACTGCCGCATGAGTTCATCTACGTGGATGAGGCAGGCTTCAATCTGGCCAAAACCAGGCGTCGGGGCCGTAACATAGTTGGACAAAGGGCTGTTGTAAATGTCCCTGGGCAGCGTGGGGGAAATATCACCTTGTGTGCTGCAATTAGTGTCCAAGGAGTCCTGCATCATCATGCCACTCTAGGTCCCTACAATACAGGACAGATCATTGCATTTCTAGATGCACTACATGCAGTTGTGCAGGACAGACCACAGCAGCCCAGGTTTGTTGTCATCTGGGATAATGTTAGTTTCCACCGGGCTGCTCTGGTCCGAGATTGGTTCAACAACCACAATCATTTCACAGTTTTATACCTGCCCCCTTACAGCCCCTTTCTACTGTAAATGCAATCGAGGAATTATTTTCAGCGTGGCAGTGGAAAGTATATGATCTGCAACCACATGCCCGCATGACTCTTCTGCAAGCAATGGAAGAGGCATGTGGAGACATTGAGGTGGGATTAATCCAAGGATGGATTCGGCACACAAGGCGATATTTTACCCGATGCCTAGCCCGCGAGGACATCGCCTGTGATGTTGACGAGGTCTTGTGGCCAGATCGGAACAGAAGGCGTGATCCATAAGCCCCCCCGCCCCCCACCACACACACGCACACGCACACACACACACACACAAAACAAGTATATGTTTTTTCCCCCAATAGCAATTTATCCAGTAATTGTTTAGTTTTTTTACCTTTGTTTTGTTGCTAAATTTGATGTTAAGAATTTCTGTAAGAATGTTTTTTTTTTTGTAAAAACTTTTTTGTAAATACTGTTTGATTACTGCAGAAATTCTACTTTTGAGTTTTACAGAAGACAATGACAATAAAATGACAATAAAAATAGAAACACAAAGACTGCAGTGTTTTATATAAAGCCCATCAGTGTGTTGCTGGTGATATGAAAGAGTAATTCAAATGTTGCTTGTGTGTATGGTTTTGTTGCAAGAATTTCATTTTTAGAAAGGAGTGTTAAGTTTTGATTGCAGTGTTTCATTTTGGCATATATGTGAGTTGTTAATCTCCAAGTGCTATGTCTGATTGGCTTGTGTGTTGAGTTTTGACATAATGAGCCAAATTCTGCAAAAATGTGTAAGCAATAGGCAAAAACTGTAATGATATCTGAGTGAGAGTGACAAACAAAATCAATGGGGGACCCCTGGAGGTCAGGGCCTCTAGGCACGTGCCCTGCGTGCCCGGTTTGTATTCGTCCATGATTTCTACAAGTTTAGATAACTGGCTAGACTAATTTACATATCAAAAAATTGTTAGCTGACATGGCTAAGTGACTGTCAGGGACTGACAAAAGAAGAGGAAAACTGCTGATGCACAACCAAATTTCGAACTTGCACTTTGTGTATTCTACTATTCTAACGCTCAATAGTAAGTTCAGACCCCGATTGAATTCCTTCCTTCCTTCCTGCCTGCCTGCCTGCCTGCCTGCCTGCCTGCCTGCCTGCCTGCCAGCCTCTCTCGCTCTCTCTCTCTCTCTCTCTCTCTGTCTGTATGTCTGTCTCTCGCTCTCGCTCTCTGTGTTCACTGTTGTAAATTCAGTTTGGTAGCCTGGTGGTTATTGTCCTATCAATCATTGTCGAGGCCACCTGCCGCTGTATGGAAGCTCTACCAACTAGTTCAAACAGCGGAGTAGCAGAGTAGCGCAAGTATTGGCAATGTTGAAAAAAGAAGAGAGCGTTCTCAATCGGAAATAACAGTGGGGCTCCTCTTGCCAACAAACCCTCATGGCTAGACTTTACCTGCAAGGGAGGTATGTTTCATCACAATATGTCTCTCTTTCTCTCCTGCCGTTTCTCTCCCTCTGTCTCACACGTTCGGTTTTCTCTCCCTTTCTCATCTTATGGTCATGTTTGGACACATTCTATTTTGAGGTACATGTTTGTTTGGTGTAGATTATTAATTAGCCAACTCTGTAGGTTTATTTCTATTAACTTTTACTTTAATGTGCTTGTATGCAACTGCTTTGAGGTGCCATTGCGAAAGGGAATTTCAACATACAATCACATCAGAGACATCTTTGTTCCTGGTTGTACAGTCTGCTATTGGTGTTTAAAGCCTAGACATCCTGGTCAGATCTGTTTGTGCTATCATGCCAACTCCATTGCGGTTAACCCAACTGCTGATGGGTCAAAAAAACTACTGACGGTTAAATTAACCCATGTTTGGGTAATCCAAACAACCCAACATTTACGGAACCCAACTGGCTGGGTCAAAATGACCCAGCGAGTGTTCTGTCCAATATTTACCCAGCGCTGGGTTACCAAATAATAGTCTATAAACTCCCTATGATGACAGCTGTACTCATAGGGAAGTGGAGTTGTGGGTGATTGAACTGGCCCTACTGCTCAGTTCAACTTCCTTTTTTAAAGGCAAGCCTTAATGTCAACCCCTGATAGGCACTCTGTCACATTTTCACATTAACAAGGGCTGTGAGACCATGATTTATGATTTGTCATGGGGATATTTTTGGCTAGCTACTTCCGGTTAGCTAGCATATTGCTGAAGGGTTTGATCATGTGGCGTATGGCGGGTGTACGGATGTCACTTTTAAGAGAGCAAAGAACGATCAGTCAGAAGTTAACATGACTCTGTATTGTAGTTTTATGAAAGAGGATCCGTAAACGGGTACTGTGGGAAATTCTCTCAGTATATTGTGGACCAGGAAGTGGGGTTCATATATATGATCTGTTTTTATGTACTAAGTTGATGAGAATAAATTACTTGATGTTACCTTAAATTGTAAACTGTCATGGTCAAAACATAGATTCAATGGTTGTAAAGATGGGGAGAGGTCTGTCCATAATAGAGAGATGCTCTGCTTTTTTGGCACCACAGGATCTAGTTTAGTCTTATCTTGATTATTGTCCAGTCATGTAGTCAGGTGCCTTTTCATTGTAATAAGAGGGCTAATATAAAAACTATGCATGCCATTCTCTCTTGGCTAAGAGTTGAGGAGAGACTGACTGCATCACTTCTTCTTTTTATAAGAAACAATGTGTGGAAAATTCAAAATTGTTTGCATAGTCAGCTTACACACATCTCTGACACACACACTTACCCCACAAGACATGCCACCAGGGGTCTTTTCACAGTCCCCAAATCCAGAACAGAACAAATTCAAGAAAGTGTACTGTATTATAAAGAGCCATTATTGCATGGAACAAAAATTAACATCAAACCTGGTTTCAAAAAACAGATAAAGCAACATCTCACAGCACAACTGTGATGCGTGCGATGACAGAGTTTATTCCTTCGTTGACACACATCTGCGCTCAAATAGCGATCAACAAAACAGGCACAGGGGAAACTCTCATCCCTGGCAAATACACTGTAATGGTAGAATCCAATAATACATAGGCACAGGGGAAAATCTACCCTGGCAACAAAATGTACGAGTAGCTCCACCGAGCTATACTACTCTCACAACTAACAATCACCCACAAGGACAAGGGGGCAGAGGGAACACTTATACACAGACTAATGAGGGGATTAGAACCAGGTGTGTGTGATTGACAAGACAAGACACATGTGATGATGATTGGGGCGGCAGTGGTTAGTAAGCCGGTGACGACGAACGCTGAAGTCTGCCCGAACAAGGAAGGGAGGCAGCCTCGCCCGAAGTCGTGACAACAACGCCTCTCCTCTATTTGACCTAGATATTTTGTGTGTATGTATTGATATGTAGGCTATGTCTGCCATTTTTAAATGTATGTAGTTCTGTCCTTGAGCTGTTCTTGTCTATTGATATTCTGTAGTATGTCATGTTTCATGTTTTGTGTGGACCCCAGGAAGAGTAGCTGCTGCTTTAGCAACAGCTAATGGGGATCTTAATAAATTACCAAAACGACTATAGGCCTATGTAGCTGTGACCTTCCTCTAAGGCTGCGTCCCAAATAGTACCCTATTCCCTTTATAGTGTACACATTTTGACCAGGGCCCATAGCGCACATTGTCTGTTCCCCTTTTCCCATTTTATCCGTCACTCTCCAGTTTTTCATTCTGACTTTTCATGGGAGCTTGTGTTGTTGATGGTTGCTCTTAGACAAATACCTTGTCAGAGCAAATTTACTTATTTCCAATGCACAACACTGTAGCCTCTGCATTCGTGGTGTGTGTGGGTGGGGATGTTATGTATGATGATAATCTTTCCCAGACACAATAGGAGCACTGTGGGACTGCCCAGGTAGCCTATCCCCAACCTTTGTAATGAAGCAGCACACCGGAGGATCAGGTGTGTGTGTGTGTGTGTGTGTGTGTGTGTGTGTGTGTGTGTGTGTGTGTGTGTGTGTGTGTGTGTGTGTGTGTGTGTGTGTGTGTGTGTGTGTGCAACCCAAAGCTAGAGGAGCAGAAGGAATGAGCAGAGCAGCAGGTTGGCAGGTACGTGGGTAAGGGAAGGGGGACGGGAGGAGGGGGGAGGTTTACCCTTCCATATTGGAGAAGGAAGGTATTGTAATGCACTGTGCACAGAGTAACAGAAAAAAGAGGGTGACATTTGAGCATGGTGAGTGGGAGAGAATAGGTTTCATTGTACAAAAGGGTACTGGGCTCTCTCTCCAGAGGATAAAGCCGAGACTTCCTTGTCACACACTAATGTTTAATGTGTAACTGATGACTTTTGTGGTCAATTGCCTTTCTGCACAGTTGTAAACAATCATTCACACTACCCAGGAATTAACCTGTGATGTGCCACCACATGCACCCTCAAATATCTTAACGTTGAGTCGCTCACCTACACAAATTCCATGTGGGACCAATCAGCTGTCACGCCCTGGCTCTGGGGACTCTAGTATGTTGAGCCAGGGTGTGAGTTTTCATTTGTGTTCGTTCTAGTATTGTGTTTCTATGTTGGCCAGTGTGGTTCTCAATCAGAGGCAACGTGAATCAGCTGTTGCTTGTTGTCTCTGATTGGGAACCATACTTAGTCAGCCTGTTTCCCACAGTATGGTGTGGGATCTTGTTCCAATTAGGTTTGTGTTTAAACCGAGGACGTCACGTTATCGTTTGTTGTTTTGTTCGTGTAGCATTAATAAAAAGCATGTTCACCTTCAACGCTGCGCCTTGGTCCTATGTTCCCGACGAACGTGACAGAAGATCCCACCAAGACTGGACCAAGCAGCGTGTCCAGGAGCCATCGCCAGGGAGATCTCTAGCGGATCTCCTTCGCCTCCTCGACTGGGTCAAGCCGTGTGAGGAAGAGAGGGGCTTGACTTGGAAGCAGAAGGGCGAAAGGCTGGCGAGAGATATGGAGACCTGGTCCACGGGTAGGAGAGAAGCCCAGAAATTTTTTAGGGGGGGGCTCACGCCGTGGACGACGGGGCAGCAGGAGACCGCGATAGAGCGGCCCAGCGGGTTGGCAGAGGAGGCCGCCAGGTTACGGGGGCCACTGGTCAAAAGGGGAAGGAAGGTGTAGAGGCACGGCGAGAGGTACTGGGGTGTGTTGCCAGTCCGGTCCGGCCCGTTCCTGATCCCTGCGTAGGGCCAGTGGTGTGTGTCCCCAGTACGGTCCGGTCTGTTCCTGTCCCTTGCACCGAGCCTGTGGTGCGCGTCGCCAGCCCAGTCCGGTCCATTCCTGCTCTCCGCACCAAGTCAGTGGTGCGCTTCGTCAGCCCGGTCCGGCCCGCTCCTGCTCCCCGCACCAAGCCAATGGTGCGCGTCGCCAGCCCGGCCCGGCCTGTTCCTGCTCCCCGCACCAAGCCAATGGTGCGCGTCGCCAGCCCGGCCCGGCCTGTTCCTGCTCCCCGCACCAAGCCTATGGTGCGCGTCGCCGGCCCGGCCCGGCCTGTTCCTGCTCCCCGCACCAAGCCAATGGTGTGCGTCGCCAGCCCGGCCCGGCCTGTTCCTGCTCCCCGCACCAAGCCTATGGTGCGCGTCGCCAGCCCGGCCCGGCCTGTTCCTGCTCCCCGCACCAGGCCAATGGTGCGCGTCGCCAGCCCAGTCCAGCCCGCTCCTGCTCCCCGCACCAAGCCAATGGTGCGCGTCGCCAGCCCGGTCCGGCCCGCTCCTGCTCCCCGCACCAAGCCTATGGTGAGCGTCGCCAGCCCGGTCCGGCCCGTTCCTGCTCCCCACACCAAGCCAGTGGTGTGCGTCGTCAGTCCGGCATGGCCCGTGCCTGTTCCACCGGTGCCTGGTCCAGCACCGGTCAGCTGCTTCACGCCGGAGCTAGAGCAATCCGCTCCACCAGTGTGCAGTCCAGCTCCGGCCAGCGGGGCCAGACCGGACCAGGGGTACTTTGGGGGGTTGGAGAGGGAGTGGGGATCAGGCCCGGAGCCGGATCCGCCGCCAAGGCGGAGTGCCCACCCGGTCCCTCCCCTGTGGTGTTTGGTTGGCGCGGCCAGAGTCCGCGCCTTTGGGGGGGGGTACTGTCACGCCCTGGCTCTGGGGACTCTAGTATGTTGAGCCAGGGTGTGAGTTTTCATTTGTGTTCGTTCTAGTATTGTGTTTCTATGTTGGCCAGTGTGGTTCTCAATCAGAGGCAACGTGAATCAGCTGTTGCTTGTTGTCTCTGATTGGGAACCATACTTAGTCAGCCTGTTTCCCACAGTATGGTGTGGGATCTTGTTCCAATTAGGTTTGTGTTTAAACCGAGGACGTCACGTTATCGTTTGTTGTTTTGTTCGTGTAGCATTAATAAAAAGCATGTTCACCTTCAACGCTGCGCCTTGGTCCTCTGTTCCCGACGAACGTGACATCAGCAGAATTTCATTCAGTGGAGATCAGTAAGGAGGAAGATATGTAGTCATATTTACCAGAACTAATCCTCTGCATAGGGGCCCAACCCTAAGGTGTGTGCTGCAATGAAGATTGTACACAGTTCCGCATGACTTTCTTTATCTTTACAAGTCTAAGTAAGCTCCTAGAGCAATGGGGTTACACTCTAAAAAAAGCTGTGCTAAAAACAACTTCATTTGGGTTATTTGGTAACCCAGCGCTGGTTAAATATTGGACAGATCACACGCTGGGTTATTTTGACCCAGCCAGTTGGGTTGCGTGAATAACCCAACATGTTGGGTTGTTTGGATTACCCAAACATGGGTTAATTTAACCTGCAGTTGTTAGTTTTTTTAACCATCAGTTGGGTTGACACGGAGCTGGGTCTTTTTTAATGTAAACCATCGGCTATTTTCAGGAGGTGTGGCCTATTAGATAATGATTTTGTCACTTGTTCATGTACAATGCAAATAAAAACGTTCCTTTAATATTTTTGCACATAACATATTCTCATATAAAATTCATAACTTTATTATTTACATATCCCAACATTGAGATACAATATTGGGATATGCATAGGCTCTTGAGGAACTCATACACTTGTCTAAGCCTCATCAAAGCTACAATAATATTAGTGTTCAACCTTAATATGTGATAACAATACAACAGAACAGATTAACCCGAATGACATTTGTCCTCACAGGTGGCCAAAACTATCTGAAAGCCCTACTAAGCAACACCTCTTGTCTTCTGAACTGACCCACTGGGTCATATCTCAATAACCAAGCATCAATAAACCAGCACCCAGCATCAATAAACCAGCAGTTTGACCCATCGCCCGCAAAACATCCAGGTGCAATTGAGTTGTAGTTGGATTCACATGTAATAGCTATTTTTTCCTTTATATGGTCAAATAAAATCCCAGATTGGTTTTAGGTACTGTTGCACCACTATGTGGTTGAGTAGACTCCCAGATCCTGCTTCCAGGTTTCACAATAGAAACAGGTATTAAACAAAGGAAGTACACTAGGAAGTTGACAGGTGTTCCTGTAAGTGTGCACAGTAGATTGTGTACGCACAGATCAGAGAACAACTGTACAAAAAGGGCCTGACTTGACAATATTACCTGTCTGTCAGACATTAACATATCATCATACATTTCAATAAACTTTGATGATTTAATAATTATTGTTAATATGCTACCTTCGGGCTCCATATAAAAGTGACATGGAACGAGATATGAAAACAGGTCATACCATTTTATATGGTTATCTTAGCAAGTTGTAGATCATGTTGAAGAGCGACATTTCATCTCAGGATGTATAAAATAACTTGGGTGACTGAAGTGATGACATGCAATACATTTTGGGCCTGCTGTATTTATTTGACAGTAAAAACATGTTCCCCATGAAGGGTTTGAGAGAGTGATATTTTAAACTAATGTGCATTACTGTCTATCTACATGATGTGTACAGTATACATTGTAACACTTTATTTGAAGGGTCTGTAATAAGGTATTTATAAATTGTGTTTTCACCATTTATTAATCATTACTCCCACATGTATAAACCATTTACCAATCATTAGTATTTTACCCTAATCTAAAGTTAGCACTATTTTTACTTTACAAATACTTTATAAACGTTTTGAGTGACCAGTGCAATTTCTCACAAAAAGATGGGCATGCCAATCGTAGACATTCATGCAGTACCTGGTAAAAGAATAAGCACACAACACAGGACGTTTAAGTATATATATAGATGTGTGAATAACTAGCTTACAAAAATGTACAAATGTGGGAGTAGTGATTAATAAATGGTGAGCAAGCGGTTTGTAAATGCCTCATATTATTCCTATTAAATGGTTTATTATGGACCCTTAAAATAAAGTGTTACGGTATATATCATTACATTCATATTTTTGATGACAATAAGTCATCATCAGTACAGTGTAATCGAATAAGACATTACTTTGGAAGCATACAGTCCTACACATCTCAATGTTCTACTTCTATTCCACGAAGACAAGTGGAAAGAGAGAGTTTATCTTATGTGTAGTCAATTCAATCTCAGAAGGTCAAAGGTCCTTTTCACAAACACAGCTTAGAATGGCTAACCTTGCAACCAACTTCTGATTATGCACGAGTAGTGCCAGGAGTCATGTCAACAAAGACCATTACATGTCAGCTCTTACAAAGACAGAGTACTTCCCACGACCTGAAGACCCTGATGTCTTCATACTCACGTGTCAGTGACCAGCAGCACTGCTAGCATTAGCTGGTGGATGAGACAACATTGTACTCCAACACCAAAGGCATCATGGTGTAACAATAGAACAACAGTACTATGAAACGTGAGATTATTTATTTCAATGAACAGATCATTTGGTCAACTTTGCGTTATAGCCTACAATGTAATGTTATGAAATGTAGACAATAAAAACATATACTGTAGGCTACTAGTAAATATTTATAACATACAAAACTGTCACTCATCCTTTAAAATGTTCTGGTTAGAAGGGGAAATAGGGGGAAACAGTAAGAGCTGGAGTGATTGGATTAACAAGTGAGTCTCACAGCAAAGCTGTAGACATGGCAGTCCACTGTACAGATTTCTCTCTGAGACTGCAGTGAGGACAAATGTATCTTAGTTATGTGATTTGATTCACAATGGAATGGAGAGGTCTCCATTCTGATAGACCATTTCTTGTTGGATAAAAAATAACTTCATGGTATTTCAGTCATATAAGCAAATAATAATTAACCCAGTTTTCTACACCTGTTTTGCTTATGCCCAATTTTAACCCTAAACAACCATGCCAAGAATGCAAAACAGGGGGTTAAAGTGAAAGTAGCCAGAGTGCCTGCAGTCTACGTAGGGGCGGCAGGTAGCTTAGTGGTTAAGAGCGTAGTGCCAGAAACCGAAAGGTTGCTGGTTCTAATCCCTGAGCCGACTAGGTGAAAAATCTGTCGATGTGCCCTTGAGCAAGGCACTTAACCCTAATTCCTTCTGGATAAGAGCGTCTACTAAATTACTAAAATGTAAAATGTAGGAAAACCACAAGTAAAAAAGGCAGTTGAAGCACTTGTAAGCTTTCAGTGAGTGGGGGCTTTTAATTGAACACCCAACCAGGTTAACAATGCAGGAAGAGTCCTCAAATATGATTAAATGGGTAACTGAACTCCCTTTGGATTTTGTACGCTATTCCTGGACTGTTAAGGATGCTACACATGTTTCGCGAATGCAGCGGCGGAGAGTCATTTTCTATGTAGTTCTACGTACTTTTGTTTGGCTCACACACAATGCTTCATCGCCCAGATTGTGTAGAGTGTGTAGAGCGCTGTCTGTGTACTGTTGGTTTCTGCTGATTTCCTTGGTGGTTTCTTCTCGTTTCCTGGTTAGTTTCTTCTGGTTTCCTGATTCTTTTTCTTTACCAGTCTCATTCATTAACAATGGGTGATGAGTAAACAGGGTTCAAATCTAATATACTGTAGGTCACGCTTTTTTGTTTCTTTAAGACAAGTTGTTGTTTTACTTTATGTAAATATATATTGATGAGCATGCAAACAATGCCAAAACATTCGGAATGGTTATGTGGGCCTAACTGTTAACTAAGTAAGGAGTTTGTAAACTTCCATTTAGCTAAAGAGTTGTGTACATGTCTGTTTTTCAGGATGAAGATGCGAAGGCACAACTTATTTCTCTTTGGCGCATTGGCCTTGTGTGTCCTCTCCCTGCTGCAATACTGCAAGGGCTTCCACCACATGCCTATGCTGAGAGAGCTGTATGCCTCCTCTGTCAACCTCGAGGCCCTAAGCTTCCTCTGGAGAAGGAATGGGGACCCTCAATACAATTTTCACCCAGAGAGGAGGCCTCTCCCTGGACCCTCCGACACGGGCCTGTGGGAACCAGGGGAAGACCGGGAGGACCAAGGGAACGCGGAGGTGAGGAGAAGGGTTGGGTGTGGCAGTGAGGTGAGGGGGCAGATTATACATTGTTTTGGGTTTATATGATATTGTCATTGATATGATTCATTGTTTTCCCACTCAGGACACGTTGGGCAAGGAGCAGCCTAATCCATGGAATGTAAACAGAATAACGATCACTCTCCCGGACCCCAAAGGACCATGGGGAGAACTTCACAAACGGAGCTTCCATCTTCGCGATGACCCCACCCCGTTCTTTGTGCGCACCAAGTCTGGAGCATATTGCTTCCGAGAGGGGACGGAAATGACTTTTCTCAAAGACGACTCGGGACAAAGGGTACAGGCAGCTGGAGAGGGCCAGCGTAAGATCCTGCATGCACACCAAGTGGAACCCAAGTCAGCCCCAGGGAAAACAGCCAGGGGGAAGGGGCTGGTGAAGTGTATGTGTCGCCCAGGCTGGCACGGCCCTCACTGTGGCATCCCCACCATGGTGCAACACTCCAACCTGCCCACTAAGGAGCGTCTGACGCCCAGGATGGTTCCGCGGAGGGTCATCAACGCCATTAACATCAACCATGAGTTTGACCTCCTCCACGCCCGCTTTCACGAGCTGGCTGATGCCGTGGACCTCTTCCTGGTGTGTGAGTCAAACTTCACGGCCTACGGAGATTCCAAGCCGCTGCACTTCCTGCGCCTCCTGCTTAACGGGACCTACGACTATGTGCACCACAAGATCCTCTACGTCTTCCTCGATCACTTCCCTAAAGGTGGCCAGCAGAACGGGTGGATTGCTGACGACTACCTGCGAACGTTTCTAAGCCGTGACGGGATGTCCAGGGTACAAGGCGCCAGGCCGGATGATGTCTTCCTCATCAATGACGCAGACGAGATCCCGGCCCGCGAGGGCATCCTCTTCCTCAAACTCTACGACGGCTGGACGGAACCTGTGTCCATGCACATGAGAAAGTCCCTTTATGGTTTCTTCTGGAGGCAGCCCGGGACGCTGGACATTGTCTCCGCCTGCACTGTTGCCATGCTCTTCGCCGTCTACAATGGAGACGGGATATCACTGAGGCGCAGGGAATACTTCTCCATGCCGGGTTTCCGGAACTACCAGAGGAAGAGTGGACACATCCTGGTGCAGTGGTCCATTGGGAGCCCCGTCCACTACGCAGGCTGGCACTGTTCCTGGTGCTTCAGACCAGAGGGAATCTCCCAAAAGCTAATCTCTGCCCAGAATGGAGACTTCCCCCGCTGGGGCGATTACGTGGAAAAACGAGACCTGAACTACATCAAGGGCTTGATCCGGACTGGGGGATGGTTCGATGACTCGGTGGGGGAGTACCCACCTACAGACCCTAAAGAGCCTATGTACGCACCCAAATATCTATTAAAGAACTTTCAGCTGTATTGCTACATACTTGAGAACCAATATGCCTGAATCTGGTATAAAATCATTGTTGATTTCAATGGAAGGATTGTTAACTTCAAGGGGTGTTGCCGGACCAAAACTATGAAACCTCCACCTGCGCCTCTGATTGAAGGGCAGGCCGTCCACTTTCTGTCTGAAGACGAAGTAGCTAGCTGGTGAGAGGGGGTGTAATGAGGGACAGCTGAGATTCATTCTATCCGATTCTATCCCTTTTCAATCACAATATTAAACGATAGTTAACAATCCTCAACGACAAAGGCCTCTTCTGCTCCAGAGCATTCAAGGACCGGTTTCCGGTTGGGACATGATGACTGTTGTCTTTCTAACTGTAGACGTGATGGCAGACAGGTATATATGTATAGTAGATATATCTGATGATGGCCAATGGCCAGTGATACTGTAGTTTTCCCTCAGTCAGATCAACAATGTGCTTCTAGTGCCACCAGTGCTGCGTTTCCAGAGCCCTTTGTGAAGAAAGAGACCAGATCAGTGCACTTTTCTGTGGTGGTGGTAAAACTGTGTTACTGTGCTGAAAGGGTTGTTCGAACACCACAGGGAAATATAGGGGGAAAGGGAAAGTCTGTTTTATATTGTTTAATACAAATCCAGGTATCCCTCACTAATGCACTATAGGCTTATCTTAGCCATCGCTTACTTTGACTACACAACTATCCTCTTAGCCTTCTTGTAAACAGATTGTTTATGGTTTACAGGTGAATAAATGTGAGGCCAAAAAGCATATGTAATTAGAACCATGGGATCCTGCCAAACAATTGTCACATTGCTTTTTGCCATTTCTGTATCCATTGTTCATTTAGAGAGAAAATTCTCGAGAAACAAAATCCATTTATTCTGCTATGGTCTAGTGATTCACATCACGTCTGGTAATTCAATCTGTTCTAGACACTCAACTTTACATTTATATAAGCAATGGTTTCATTATATCATACATCATGTAATAATAATATATACAATAGTGATATTTGGGAGATTATTTCCTTTTCAAATAACTGAATGTGAAAGGTTGTAATCTGAAAAAAAGGGGAAAAGGCCATTCTTGAACATTGTGTGAGACAATCTGACTAATTTGCTATTGAACCAGTTCGGATTAAAGTATAACTTTTGTATGACTGAAGCTTTTAGTGATACAGTTGAAGTCGTTTACATACACTTAGGTTGGAGTCATTAAAACTTGTTTTTTAACCACTCCACAAATTTCTTGTTAACAAACTAAAGTTTTGGCAAGTCGGTTAGGACATCTACTTTGTGCATGACACAAGTAATGTTTCCAACAATTGTTTACAGACAGATTATTTCACTTATAATTCACTGTATCACCATTCCAGTGGGTCAGAAGTTTACATACACTAAGTTGACTGTGCCTTAAAACAGCTTGGAAAATTCCAGAAAATGATGTGATGGCTTTAGAAGCTTCTGATAGGCTAATTGACATCATTTGAGTCAATTGGAGGTGTACCTGTGGATGTATTTCAAGGCCTACCTTCAAAGTCATTGCCTCTTTGCTTGACATCATTGGAAAATCAAAATAAATAAGCCAAGAAAAAGTCTGGTTCATCCTTGGGAGCAATTTCCAAACACCTGAAGGTACCACGTTCATCTGTACAAACAATAGTACGCAAGTATAAACACCATGGGACCACGCAACCGTCATACCGCTCAGGAAGGAGACGCGTTCTGTCTCCTAGAGATTAACGTATTTTGGTGCAAAAACTGCAAATCAATCCCAGAACAACAGCAAAGGTCCTTGTGAAGATGCTGGAGGAAACAGGTACAAAAGTATCTATATCTACAGTAAAACGAGTCCTATATCGACATAACATTTTACATTTTACATTTTAGTCATTTAGCAGACGCTCTTATCCAGAGCGACTTACAGTTAGTGAATACATATTTTTTTTATACTGGCCCCCCGTGGGAATTGAACCCACAACCCTGGCGTTGCAAACGCCATGCTCTATCAACTGAGCTACATCCCTGCCGGCCATTCCCTCCCCTACCCTGGACGACGCTGGGCCAATTGTGCGCCGCCCATGAGATAACCTGAAAGGCCGCTCAGCAAGGAAGAAGCCACTGCTCCAAAACCGCCATAAAAAAGCCAGACTACGGTTTGCAACTGCACATGGGGACAAAAATCGTACATTTTGGAGAAATGGTCTGATGGTCTGATGAAACAAAAATAGAACTGTTTGGCCATAATGACCATCGTTATGTTTGGAGGAAAAAGGGGGGGCTTGCAAGCCGAAGAACACCATCCCAACCATGAAGTACAGGGGTGGCAGCATCATGCTGTGGGGGTGCTTTGCTGCAGGAGGGACTGGTGCACTTCACAAAATAGATGGCATCATGAGGAAGGAAAATTATGTGGAAATGTTGAAGCAACATCTCAAGACATCAGTCAGGAAGTTAAAGCTTGGTCGCAAATGGGTCTTCCAAATGGACAATGACCCCAAGCATACTTCCAAAGTTGTGGCAAAATGGCTTAAGGACAACAAAGTCAAGGTATTGGAGTGGCCATCACAAAGCCCTGACCTCAATCCTATAGAACATTTGTGGGCAGAACTGAAAAAGCGTGTGCGAGCATGGAGGCCTACAAACCTGACTCAGTTACACCAGCTCTGTCAGGAGGAATGGGCCAAAATTCACCCAACTTATTGTGGGAAGCTTGTGGAAGGCTACCTGAAACGTTTGACCCAAGTTAAACTATTTAAAGGCAATGCTACCAAATACTAATTGAGTGTATGTAAACTTCTGACCCACTGGGAATGTGATGAAATAAATAAAATCTGAAATAAATCATTCTCTCTACAATTATTCTGACATTTCACATTCTTAAAATAAAGTGGTGATCCTAACTGACCTAAGATAGGGTATTTTTACTAGGATTAAATGTCGGGAATTGTGAAAAACTGAGTTGAAATGTATTTGGCTAAGGTGTATGTAAACTTCCGACTTCAACTGTAGGTCTAATGATTTCATATTTAATAATTTCTGTCCTCCGAATTCATATGTTGTGAATATCTTAGTTTGTTCTTGTTTCGCACTGTAGACATTGTTTTGTTGAATAGCTACATGAATCCAAACCTACTAGCAGTAAAAGCAGTAACAGGACGACATAAAGACAGACAAAAGTTTTATTACCTAATTATTAGTATATTTTTAGTTACATGCCTCTATTTACAGTGCTTGGCTTGGGCAGGAGCTCACTCATTTCTCAACACCTCTCATTCCTCAATCACTGTTTTGATTATTCATGCTTTCAAGCCTTAAACTCCCTCTGCCCTATTTGTGTGTGAGTGTGTGTGTAAACGTGTATTTTATACATCTTGTTCTTTGAAATGATTGTAACTGTGCCACTTTTCGATACTTCTCTATCTGGAGTCCACATGATGAAAAGTGGGACTTCCATAGTGGCTCCATTTAAATGCCAGAATCTCAGGAAACTTAGAGAATGTCATCTGAACTATATAAACTACACTGTTGTTCAATGCTGCAGCATGTTTACAGCAAAAAAAAAATGCCTTGGGATGTTGTTGACTTTGCTTTTTTAGGGGGATTTAGACATCTGCATGGTATTTTGTAATTTCTGGACGGTGTCCAATCATTTTTGTACAACTATGAGGGACAGCGCCTGTGTTCTAGTTCTGATAACAAATTGTTGAAATAAATCGATAACTAACATTACGTGACTGATTTTGAATCTCATGCAAGTCCTGAGTCTTCCTTCATCAATCATTCCACTACATCTCTTTATTGAAGTAATACACATTCCCGATGTGGTTCATTTTTCCTCTTGTCATGTCAGTCATTGCAGACCTTAGAGAGCTATTTATAACTTGTCAGAAATGTCCAGATCAGCTAGCCCATGTCAGCTAAGATTTTTTAGATAGATTTTTTAGCCCATAGATTTTGTTGCAATGTTTTAGTCACTCAAATATCACAAGAATACACATTAGACATTGCAAAATGTATAGAATTGCAAGAAAATGTGCTTTAAAACTGCAAAATGTTCTGTGCACCCCATGACAAAATGTGTAGATTTGCGGGAAATAAGCTTAAACCTTCAACATTTTCTCTCCACGCACAAGAGGGGTGTGAACAGTTTGTGTCATGAAAAGTGCTTGTGCACATATAAATAGACGTGGCGTGCGGGGGGTCGGGATGTTCCCCAATGCTGGAAAGGGGGCTGTGTGAAAAAGTTTGGGAACCCCTGATTTAAACCTCTAACGTCTCAGTCAGCTCAACCATAAAGAGACATAAGAATGCTTTGACCATAATGTTTCATCAAAACAATCAAGAACTATGTTGTTACTGTGTTTTCTATGTCCAAAAAGATGCCATGTTAACTTCAAGGGTGTTCTTCTGACATATTTGTAAAAAATTGGGAGGTGGCCCACTTGAAATTAGCGCTCTAACCAGTATGGTCTGGCAGAAGGCTACAATAATCCCTCAACACTCAAAAGAACAGATGATAGGCCCTATAACAATGGAGGTTGATTACTGATGATGACAAGTGTAGTAATAGTCTAATGTACCTTTACTTGCGCGACTGCAACTCTTTGACAGACGTGTTAAGTGTGGATCAATCAAGCAGAGCAAGGAGGATGTTGAGACAAAGATGACGCTCTTGACTGCATGTGTATCAATATGTTTATTAAAAAACCTATTCAGAATCACACATTAAAAGCTTTGCAAAGTTTATGTCCAATATGTATTGGTCATTTTGATATTAATTCATGTTCAAGTGGAATATTTACATTTATTTGAATTACAAAACAACATATTTTAACACCTTTTTGGACATTGTTTAGCACCTTAAAGGGGAATTTCACCCTGGCTCTACCACGTCATATAGTCATTACTATATCATTAAAATTACATTTTTGTCATAAACATCAAAATTATCCAAAACACAAGGAAGAACTAGCACATTTTCATTTCACTGGTAGAATCGGGAAGTTCTGACTTCCTGTGTATTTGTTTGCTCATAGTGAACCACAAAGTCTGGCATTCAAAGCGACTGCAGATACGGCCCACTAAAATAGATAGGGTGTGCCCACGAACTTTATTGATGTTGTAGTGTCGAGAACGATGCTGAGATGCTGTGATGACAAGGAATCCGCTGACACTGTCCTCGATTATAATAGTTTATTACATTGAAGCTTTCAGCTCCAATTTACAGACTTCTGCAGACATCTGGAGAACAACTGCCCCAATCTCTAATATGTTGTTACTCTCCGTCCTTTGTCCCAACCATAGTATTTATAATCTGTAACATGATATGGGTGGTTTCCCCTACAGACCAATCCCAGTCCTCCACATAACAGACTTCCTCTAACACACCATTTGCAAACATCAGCAAAGTCATAAATTGTCTAGATACTACAATGTCATTGTGTACTTTGAACGAAAACCACAAAGCAATCTCAGAACTTCTGTAGGCAGGATTTTTCTTTGACAACGTTTGTCATCATGTCTGTGTGGTGTTCTGTGCCTGGCTGTGCTAAATACAAACAAGCGTGAAAATGAGTTATCTTTCATCGTTCTACCTACCAGAGATTTACACCGATGCTGCCAGTGGCTTGCGGCTATAAAGAATGATGCTTATGGTGACCAAAGACTATCAGAGGGATTTTCAGGCTGAACTGATGGGGAATACATTTTGATGACAGCTGAGAAGTGATGCGATACCATCCATCTTTTCCTTCACCAAAAAACGGAAAAATTATTGATTAGACGTAACCTAACGTTAGCTAGCTTGCTAGTCTATCTGGACTAGCTAGGTAAGTTAGCTAGCTAGCTAACGTTAGCAAATAAGAGTAGCTCAATAT